CTGAGGCGCTACAGGTAACAGCTGGTCCATGACATTGGAAGGCGACGTCGACCTTGCCATTGAACTTGAGAGTGGGGCTTCACACGCAACCAAAGGAAAGTCAGGCTCCGCCCCTTCCCTCCCTCCTTCCACCCTTCTCCTCTCCCCTTCCCAGCACCTTCTGGCTTACCTCCCTCCATCCTCAACACCCTTTGAACACTGTCACACCACGGACAGTCTGTCACTAACGTCCCTCTTCCCTCACCGTTCCCGGACCCTTATGGCATTTGCTTCGTCGTTCAGCTATAAGTGAGAGTGATTTCTCCGTGCAGCGTCGTCGTTATGCTCCATCACTGCACTGTCATGACGCTATCGACGCAAGCCACTTAACTCTTAACGTAATGGAGCCATGATCAGCATGCTACCACGGTGGTTATTACCGTGGTCACTTACTTCAGGCAGTTCTATAAGAAAAGGCAATAAAAAGCAGTATTCACCTTCTCTCCTCGCACTACCAGAAATTATTGTCACTGCTCCCTCCTCTCCCCGTTATGTTTAGTGTTTTTTTTCTCTCTCTCTCTCTCTCTCACACACACACACGCGCGCGCGCGCGTGTAAAATAAAATGACATACGAGCAAAAATCCGGGTCTGTATTTTCTATTTTTTTTCTATAAATTGTTATGTACATGTGCAATTGCAGTAGTAATAACGTCTAACATATGAAGCTATAATTTCGAAATATGCAAATGAAGCTGGCTTTGACCTTGGGCGTCCTTAACGTCTTGCAGGGTCGCCTTGCCTCTGGACGTTTATTTTTTTGTTCTTGGCTGTACGTGAAGGTTCGTGTGCCGGCGTGTGCAATCATCCTTCCCGGGGGATAGCTGCAGCGCCACTGTCACGTCCTGATGTTATCTCAGCCTGGAGTACCTTTCCATTTTTTTGCGATTGCTTTGGGTTTTGACGAATCTCTCGGCGGTCAGAATAACACCAACATAATCTCTTTTTCTCCGTGCATGCTGAGACGTCAGTATCGCATCTGTTGTTAACTTTACTTTTCTCGATATATTATTGGGATGAGGATCTTAGTATATAGAACAGAAGAAGGAAAAGAAGAAAAAATCAGTCTTTCCACCCATTAACATGCTCTAAGTTCTCCGTTGGTACCAATTATCGTCTGCGCTGACAAGCGCTTGTGGTACGAAGGTACTCCATTACCATTATCTCGGTGAATATATACGTAGCCCAACAAATTATACTGAGATTGGACGAAGTAAACTTGAGACAAGGAGTTGGATAATGCTAACTGTGAGAGAATGTTTAAGGGGTTTTATATGGTAATCTAATGAACTCAAGAAATGCCATCTGCGGAAGCTAAAGGAAAGAGTTTGGGAATATTTCCAATGACTTTATTTAGTTCAGCAAAGCTAGAAGATGGGTAAAATCAAGGGAAATGAATATAGGTAGAATCTTAACAGCGAAGAGGGGTCGGTGACTGTCGAGGCCTTATATAGGGAGAAGAACGGTTTTAAGACAAACACGGCAAACCGCAGGAAACAGTCACGGGAAAGCAAATACAATGTGATGAAACACTTTTTCCTTCCCGCTTTAATGACGACTCGTAGGGGGTTAGTCTCCGTAGGGGGGGGGAGGTCGATTTCTTTCACCACAATGGTGAATAAGAGACGAGGGGTTTCCGCAGTATTTCCAAATAAAAGAAGAGAAATATATATATATATATATATTATATATATATATATATATATATATATATATATGTATCTATATATGTCTAAAAATTTACATGCACACACACACACACACACACACACACACACACACACACACACACACACACACACACACACACACACACACACACACACACAGTTAAATTAATTCCAAATCTGATAATATCAACTGAGCAAAGTGCATACAGAAACACCGGACGCTGAAGGTTTACCGCCAACCGGAAAATTTTCGAGCGAAGGAAGGAAAAATATCACCAGGAAATAAAAGAAAGCGAGGCGTGGACACTAAAGAGTCACCGGGGCGTGGCAGGTAGCTTCGCTCGCTTAGAAATTGCGCCTCCCCATTCTTTTTATGACTCGAGATATCAAAGGAAATCGCACCTCCCGGACCGCCACAAGGAGCGCCTGGGAGCTGATGGCCCGTTACCTCCGCCGATTAACTCGAGTCTAAATGTGGGAAGAAACGTGTCATGAAGGGTAGGAGTTGAAGTGGGCGTTTGGGGCGACGTCGGCGGGAAAAACTCGTATTCATGGGAAGTTTCTCGTTCGGTGTCGATGCGACGGTACTTAAGGACGAGGCTGGACTGCTCGGAGGAAATGGGCTTACCGGAAGGAGACGTTCTCAGAGGCAGGAAGATGGACGGCTGTTTGGCTGTGCGAGTTCAAGACGCTGATGGACGTAAGAGGAAATTTTGGGCCCGGGTAAGAGGTGGGTTGGGGGTTTGGGCGGGGTTGTGGCTTGCGAGAAACGGGGGTTTGATAGCAGAGGGTGATTCAAGACCTCGAGCACTGCGAATGTTGAGAATCTTTTTTTACTTCTTTTTTAAGAAGAGATTGCCTGAAAGATTTCTTTCGGCGGTAATTTGGAGGAAATCATGAAGTCTGCGTGGCTTTTGGAAGGTATCTTTTACTTCTTGCGATCTCAGTCAAACGGGAGAGGCAGGGATATAACTTCAACTGACAGACGTAAGGGAAAGAATGTGAAATAAGAAAGGGAGGATATACTATGGACGGGCATCAAAAAGAAAATGTGCATATCGATTTAGATGTGTCAACCTTCACAAATCGTGACGAAGGTAGTGGCTAGGCTGTCCTCACCCTGCGGTTGTTGCTTTCTGAATCTGATTTGTTTCTTGTCTCTTTTTTTCTTTTATTTTTCTCTCTCTTTTATTTATTTTTCTATTTATTCTTTTGCTTACGATTTTGTATCGATTTTAATAGAGTTCAAATTGCATTCGAGCGTTGTACATTAACAGCGAAAAATACTGTTTACTAGCGGGTTTCGGTACAAAACATCAGATTCCGACAATGCCGACCCCCGTTCCCAAGCCCGCATCATCACAAAAGCCGACTGCATTGTCTAGCCACATGTTGGTGTCAATAACCATCTTGCGCAAATCCCGTAAAGTCATGCCGTAAACAGTTCGAGAAATCATTGTGAAGATACACATTTATTTGATATATGGGGATGCATTTGTCCACGTTTGATTGGAAACGGAAAATTAGAGAGAGAGAGAGAGAGAGAGAGAGGAGAGGGAGGGGAGGGAGAGGGAGAGGAGAGGGAGAGGGAGAGGAGAGGAGAGAGAGGGAGAGGGAGAGGAGAGGGAGGGGAGAGAGAGGGAGAGAGAGAGAGAGAGAGAGAGAGAGAGAGAGAGAGAGAGAGAGAGAGAGAGAGAGAGAGAGGGAGAGAGGAGAGGGAGAGGGAGAGGGAGTGAGTGAGTGAGTGTGAGAGTAAAATGACCGTCATCGCAATTATACCGGATCCACCACACATAACGCCATGTGGAGAGTCTTTGATAGGGCACTTAACTACAATGACAGTTTAAAAATGATATTTCTTGCCGCTTCACCACAGATACGTTTTATTGCGCGTCCTGCGGGTCTGATTCGTTAGCGTCAACTTCCCCGTTGCTGGAGCTGCATATCAAAATTTGCTAGTAAACTCATCTTTATATGACCGAGGGGCGTTATTATGACAAGCTTTAAGAAAGGTATTTGTAACTGTATCTTTTAACGCTACGCGGTTATGTATAGTGCGAGGTTATGATTTTTATATTGCGAATCTTAATAGTTTCATTTGGTTCATTAGAATGATTATAAAAATGGGAATTACCTTGTTCGTCCTTTCTTCAAGATAGACGAAGATTGAATCCTTCAATATTATGGATTTTTGGAGGCAATTTTGTATGAAGGATTTTCTTCTATTAAGGATGATCGAAGTGCCAATGTTTTACGTATCAGTCCGAATAACATCAAGGGCTGACAATATCCATGCTTCCTTAGCATCACGTCCTTATGCGGTCTCCATCTCCCCGTGACGCGGGTGCAACATGACCTCAGGCGTCACGATGAAAGGTACAGTTAAGCGCATCTAACATCGGGCTCAACAGTGGAAATAAATTGTTCATGTGGTTTTGGTTTTAAGTCTTCCTATACGTAATCGGATTTACCAACCTCGGCGTTTAACTGCACGTTCATGGTATGATAACTACCCGGCAACGCAGCACGATCTCCACCAGGAAGTCTGCCTGGTGCCACGTTGAGTCTACCCTGTAATGGTTTGACCCCAAATGGTACTTCTTGTTGAAGAAATGGTACGGTTGGCCACCACAAACGATTCGGTGTAGAATGAAGAATTTGATTTGTGTGGCGAACCGTTAAAATTATATAAGAAATTCTATGTTTATCGCAGCCGTTGCTTACAACTAAAGGCATCAGTAAAATGATGGTATTTGATCATGTGTAAGAATTATCTTAAACGTAATGAAGCATATTTCGTCAGCTTCAATTTTTAGTATCACGGTAGAACTGAAAAAAATCAGCGGCCGTGACACTAACTATAATTACAACTGCTGGATCTCAGTGTAAAATTAATGCCATCATCTCAGCAACTACCATGACAAACGCATTATCTAGACTCTAAAGCGTCGTAACCGTGAAGGAATTACATGTACCACTGTCACTCACCCCTTCCCTTGTCCTCTCACCCACGAGATGCTATCTCTTCCTGGTGATTTTATGGCTCATCTATAGCGCTCCTTATTGAATATTCAAAAGTTCTAAATTATTATTTTTTTTTTCGTTTATCGTCAAGGAGTTACATTAGCCCTTCCCATTCACCCCGGAAGTGTATCTTCTACGGGTACACATTTAAGACTTGGCGAAAAATTAACGTATGTAATCGTACATATGACCTTGTTCTGTACAGCTTCCGTATGTAGTGTATCTAGTGCGAATATATTATCTACTTTTGAAGAGTTAATTCAACATACCTTATATGCGACGCCGTATGAATTTGTCCAAAGCTCCTCCTGGAAAGGTAAAAGTAAGTATTGAGAAATAGGGTTAGATGTTCGTGTGAGTCAATAGTATTTATCATCAAAAGAAATTTATCTTATTATTTTTCTGTTAATTCAATTATACTTCCTTACTGTCTCAACTGTTTTTCTTTTACTTTTGCCATACTTTCTAAAGCATCCGTTATCAAACGTATCCAAATCTAACCACATGTATTTCCGTACCACAACACACCTTGTCCCCACTCCTTCAAGAAAGAACCGAGTGAGAAAGTTTTTATTTACGTTTTTTTGTCTTTGCTTTCGATTCGCCTCTTTGACCATGGGAATAACCGAAAAAAATGAACGAAACGTGTGGTCCACTTGTTATGTTCACCAATACGTTATTCCAGAGTGATTACGAAACACATTAAATGATTATTTGCATCAGTTACATCCAAGTATTCATTGAACACCTCAAAACAAAAGCTTTATTCAGTGGCCTTTCTCGAAGATGGCAGTTCGTGCGTCGTCCCACAGAGCCGTAGGGGCGGCGGGCGGTCTGGAGGAAGGAAAGTCGCGGAGCGGAACAAGCCAACCCTCCACACTTCACGCCGCTGACCGCTGGCTTCACTTTTTATCCGTTTTGTAAGAGGATTTTACCCTTTTTCCCTCTCAATGTGGATAAGGGAGAATGATGTGGGAGTTGGTGTCCTTGGATACTCGGATTAAAGAAGGATTTGAGTAGAAAAAGGAGATGGAAGTGACGTTGGCTTAAGATGCTCGTGGCCTGATCTCGTGGTTGGGTACGCTGAGGCGTTTGACAAATCTCATTACCGCGAGAGGTGGCTGTTTAATGGAACTTACCATTTTTTATGAAATGGGTGCTTATCGATAATAACATCGGGATATACGAACGTTTTTGGTTTTCAGTTGTACCATATGCGCCTGTAGTGAAATAGCAATAGCATAAAGAATCATACATTTCTCAACAGACAGCATTCATAGAAGTTACAAAAATAATACTAACTTCAGACGGGAGAAAAAAAAAAACTGGTCTGCAGAGAAATGTCTGCGAGTTCATGAACCCGAAAGGAATTAAACGCGACAGAAAAGCGAACGAAAAATAAAGTAAAAAAAGTAGGGGTGAAGAAGGGCGGCCGTGGCGGAAATACCAGTATAATCTGCGAGTTTAATGGCCGGTGCGACTTCGCTCTTTACTCCAAACGTCCTTGATGAAGGTCCGCAAGAAATTATTGGTGTTCGTAATGGATGTGAGAAAAAAAAATCCTCTCTTGCGCTGTAGTTGCTTTTAATTTTGGGAAGTTTTCACACTTTTACGATGTACTTAATTGTATTTTTTGAAAATGCCTCTTGATTTTTGAAGGATAATGACCGGATATTTCATTGAATCTTACATTTTAATGGAGTTTAGTAGAGAGAAAAAAAAGTAGTTGAAAAAAAAAAAAAAAAAAAAAAAAGAATAGCCGTATCGTTTCCGTGAGTTCGCATAGCCATGTATTTCACTTATTCGATTATTATTATCACTTGTCTTTTCTTGTGGATGTTCACAACTTAAGGAAGTCGTCTTAACGCAGTAATATTTGACGGTGAATGACTGCAGGATACGGTGCTATGTTCCGCCCAGTGAAGCGACCAGACGGAAGAAGGGTTGGTGTTTAGGTGGTTAAGTCTGTGGGATGAACACACGAGGCAGCTGCGGCGTGGAAATGAGCGGTGCTTGGAGGGAATGGGTTAATTTAGGGGGAATGATAGGATGGTGATGTTGGGGATGGTGATAGTGATGATACTTATTACTGATATTGTTAGTATCTTTATTACAGTAATTAACAATGTAAGGAACGGGTGATACTTTTTTAAATGCGGGAAATCCTATTGTAACGTTCATCCTCGCGTCGTTAGTCAGCCTTGGATGAAAAAATGGGATCCCAATGCTTCAGTGCATCTTCATGAATGGAGCGCTGCGCATGCACTAGTTCCCGTTTTACACCTTGTCTTGCAGTGGCTCCTTGCAACGTTGCAAACATTTTACTGAAGCTTTGGCAACAGTTCCCCTCGGTCAGTTTCACGGCCCTGATTTAGTCTCGTTTGATTTATGTAGACAGTCGCGCGCGCGCGCGCACACACACATGCATATATACGTGCAAATATCATATATATATATATATATATGTATATATGTATGTATGTATATATACATATGTATATATATGTACACACACACACACACACACACACACACACACACACAATATATATTATATATATATATATATATATATATATATATATATATATATGCGCGCGCGGCACACACACACACACACACACACACACACACACACACACACACACACACACACACACACACACACACATACACACACACAACACACACCACACACACACACACACACACACACACACACACATATGTATATGTGTGTATAAACATATACATCGTATATGTGTAGACAGACAGAAAAGTCGATGGACATAGAAAGATTGACATACAATTCCTGCTTTTTCTTTCATTCAGCTTTGCGCACCTAATGAAATATCCAAGAAGACTTTCCAGGCCGCCCTCGAGCGTGGGAAAGGCGTAATTCTACGACACTCGAGACGGCGGAGAACCGGCATCTCGTCCCGTGAACAATGCGACGGCGGTGATGCGCAACAATCTTTAAGTGGCATTCCTCGTGCTTTTGTTAGTCGTCCCTGCCTCGTCTCGCCCGCTTCCCTTCGACACTCACGTCTGACATCTCTCGCCCTGACGTCTCACTCACTCGAGAGCTCAGCGCCTTGTCCCTTCTCCTGCGTCTGGGAGTAGTCTTATGCCTAGGATGATTTTTGACTTCGGTTGTGCATTTTTAGCATCTAAAGGAAGGTGTGAAAGTGATATGTATATGTATATGTGGTGTGTGTGTGTATAAAATACCAATTAATTAGCAATACAAGTGGGTAGATGAAACAGCACTTTGTCCTGGGTCCTGGGGCCTTTGGGAGTATTCCGAACTGGTCATGTTCTGAGGAGAGTGACTGTGGAAGTTTATTGTTTCTTTCCACGATCCCTGTTTCACGTAACAGGGATATATCGACACACTTGTTACACGGTAGCCAAACCACATGGACAATGCGCAGTGATCATGCGGTGGAACCCAGCGGGAAACGTATCATTCAAATGGAACTGACACACGCCTAACAAATCGCTTATGGCAATGGCCGATTCGTTTCGGCTTTTCAATCACACGTCGAGACGGAAGAAAGACATCGGGTACTGTCAGTCGTAGAAGTGTGGTAAATCTTAAGATATCCCGAAAGCACATTTATATAAACCCCAAAGTTCACAACTTTTCCACAAATAACCAGAAGCAATTTCAAAACGGCAGTACGAAAATCCCCATCGAGGAACACGTAAATACCAGTAATGAGGGTGGTCGGGTGCATCAACTAGGCACAAGGACGCGCAGGTGCCTGCGTTGGCCTGCGTCGTAACGGCCCCATGTGCTCGTCGCTGCTTCCGTTGGCCGCTCTCAAATTACCCGTTAATGACCCCCGAGCCGCTACGCCAACAACCTTCTGACGGTCGTTCAATGTTTGGGTCCTTTGATGGTCACCTGATTTAGGTTTTATGGCCACCTGATTGCTAGAGGGGGAGGAGTTCGAGGTTGTATTCTATTGCGTGCGTGTGTGTGTGTGTGCGCGTGTGTGCGTGCGTGCGTGTGCGTGTGTGCGTGTGTGTGTGTGTGTGTGTACGTGTTTGTGCGTGTGTTGTGCGTGTGTTTGTGCGTGTGTGTGTGTGATCATGTAAGAACATAAGTACGATTTAAACATACTAGTCGGATTATATGCACATTTCCTAAGGATATACATGAATATAACCATTTTTCTTGGGGCGACCTTGAGAGGGCGGAGGCGAGTAATAATCACGCTGACCGCATCTTCCTCCCTCCGCCCCTACATTTTCCTCGTCCCGGTTATTTCCTTCCTTTCGGCTCGCGACGGCGGTTAGACGACTCCACCGCACGCCTTCCCTTAATCGTCCGAAAAATCAAAACAGTCCGCCTCTGAAGTCTATTTTGCGATATTCGAACATAATTGCTATTATTGCTTGCCTTCCTACTAGATTCTCAGAGCAGCTTTATGATATTGCTTGAAAATCAGTTTTGATTTTTTACGAAAATTAAAAGGCTTAACGATTAATAAGAAGCCACAGCCCGTCGACATTATCATACCAGGCCTCGGTTAAGTATCGAGACGGCCAGAAGGTAGTCATTAATTTTCCATCCCATTGTTCTAACGATAACTGGAAACAGGATATACTTACTATCTCAGGTAATTGTGTATGATCCATCTCCAGTTTTATTTATGAACGCGCATTATGTGTGTGTGTGAATAAAATCCATATTGAATGCATTACACACATTCTAATCCCGAAAGACCAATTATTGACTCAACATGTAATTTATTTCATGAAATACTTAGTAGCTTCAGGGTCATGTTATCGTTTCAGAGATGTTAACATGGATGCCAATTGTTTAAAACCCGGAAGGAAAACATTTCGTTTGCTCTAAGAGGAATCTAATGGGAGCGCAGAAAGCAGAGAGAGAGCGAGCGAAAGGGGATATAAAACGAAACGGGCTCTAAGGGTGAAAGGCCTTGTGATCCATCATCATCCCTCATGCATGGCGGTATCCTGCTGGGAAGTCTTCCGTCTCCTTCTCTTGCGCGCTTCCCCTCAACCGCGAACATCCAATTACTAATCGATCAGTCATGACTATTCGAGTTGGATTTGAGGCAATCGTGGACTCGCGACCACATATCGCTAGTCATACTAATGAGGAGAAAGAAGGAAGTGAGCACCCTGGCGTCGGACATGTGGACAGCTGATTGAATGGCCACCTGTCTCCTGGGTTCGTCTCAGGGGCTGATATTATTCAAATGTCCCGTAATGTTTGGATGAATATGTATGGCAGTAATCCCGAAGCTTACTGTATGGTAATTACGTTATGAAT